TTGCCATAAGGCCCTTTTCTCCTGGGCGCAATCATATTGTTTTGACGAATATTTACTTGAGAAAAAAAAGGGACATTGACAAACACACACACACGCACGGAGGGAGACAGACAGCATTACTTGCAATACTAGAAAACTTTTTGGTCAGAAAATTGTGTCCAGGATTGAAGTACATCAAAATGATATGTCAATATACCGTAATTTTTTAGATACCTGATAAATCAGCCTAGTCTTTTTTCTTGCAATATATACTTAGGGACATTGGATTCATGCATTAGTTGTTGTTTTATTTTTGTTTGTTTGTTTGTTTGTTTTTTGTTTGTTTGTTTTTTGTTTTTTTTGTTTTTTGTTTTTTTTTTTTTGCTCATTAGTAATCACATTTTCAGCTTTTTCTCAAGAACTACTGGGTCAATTTCAACCAAACTTACCACGAAGCATACATGGATAAAGTGGATTCAAGTTTGTTCAAATGAAGGGTTGTGTCCTATTTCAAGGGAAGTACATGTAGTAAAGAATTACTGAAAATTTATTGACATCTTTTAAAAATCTTCTCAAGAACCACTGTGTAAGAAAAGATAAAACTTATGTGAAAGTTTCAGTGTAGGTTCAGTTTTATTCAGATCATGTCACTCAAGGGCAGGTGTGGCTATAAAAGGTTTTTCATAGAATATTTAGAAAAAAAATCTTTCATTTTTTCCCCCAAGAAGTACTGGGTCAGTAGAGATATACTTATGTAAAAATTATCGATACAGAGGGTACGCTCAATTCTGAAGTGTTGGCACGAAAAAGATCCTTCACTGCAATGATCCTGAGTGTCAAGTATAGGTCTGAATTTGCAGCCCTCCACCGGCAAGTGGTGACGCCTACATACGAATGAAAAATTCTCGAGATGGACATTATAATAACAAACAAACAAACAAAAACAAAAGCAATTTTGTTCAAACATGAGCCCATTAGGATGGGGCCACAATGGGTGATCAAAGTTTTACATAGGAATATATACACATTATATATCTATATATATATATATATACATGTATATATATAATATAAATTAAGTGTATATGACCATTTTTGAAATTTTTGATTTCTCTGACCACATTTATATGAAACATTGCCGTGAATTGTAATGCGGCATGTTCTGATGGACGACAATATACGCAGTGAGGGAAGGTGAACATTGTTGCAGGCGACAATATGAACATGACGACAAAATATACCGTCACAATCACGCTGCGTGAATAGCATACGAGACACGTCATTGTGATTCAATTACCAATAACATTTACAAAAATACCAAAAAAACAACAAAAGAAATCTTTGGGCAACAATATCTGCGGGGCGACAATATGTACAGTGGGGGTGGGGTACATAATGTCGCCAGCGACAATATGTACATGTGTATTGTCGCCAACGACAATATGTACAAAACGACAATTTGTACCGTCACACCCCCTTTTCAAAGATGTGTTCAGTAAACAGATGAAGAGTGACGTTGATTTACACCGATAAGAAAAACATTTAATTTCAATTCATCTTGGCAAATTCTGGCAATTTGTTAGCCGTTATTGAAACCCAAAAAATATTTATGTTTGTTACAGTATTTCTACAGAAATATTACGGGTTGTTTCAGTCCATGAAAAGCTAGGTTATACTGTGCTTAGAAATACGTGAAGCTTTCTTATCCTCTACTGTATCTACATGTAATTATCGTTTATTATCCTATTGGATTTCCAATGTCAGTCACATATTATTGGAAAATTATCAAATTGGCCATACTTCTTGCCCAATAAGACACACCAGAAATGTATGTATTTGATCTTCCTCTTTTAAATCTGATTTTCCCCGTTTTTTTTTTTTTTTTTTTTTTTTTTTTAATAATATGGTATCTCTTTTTTTACACTGTAAAGAAAGATATACTTTAAAATTGAAAATTGAAGTATGGGATTTAGGTATTGTTGATTTATCACAATAGAAGACTTTGATGTTGTCTAACTTTTGAAAAAAAAAAATGCCGTTTACATAATGTTTCAAAACTTTTACTCTTTATATTACGTCTTATTTCATTTGTTTCGTTGTAAGTCATGATTAACTAGACTGGTTCTTTTAACATTAAACGCATAGAATGATCATGTAAAAACCAAATATATTAAAACCGTTATTAAACAAGATTCCTGCTTTTTTTCCGTCGAAGAATTGCAAATAAATGAATAAAGGTAGCAACAGAAATATACTTTATTCGAAAACATACAAATTTATCATAATTTACAGAAATGTACTTCACTATATTGTGTTTTGAATGTTTGCTTTATCCATCTAGTTTAAATGGTATGTAAATATAGATTTAATGAATAGATATTTTAGCTACTGGATAAAGCGAATTTGAGATCACTCAGTAATAAGTGCTTTTAAAAATCTCATTGTTTTAATTAAATAAGCATTTTAACTATTGGATAAAGCAAATATGGGATTACAAAATTATAGGTTGCTTTTTAAAATCTCATTTGTTTTTTTTTCCTAATCTCAAAAGTTAGGAAAGAACATATTCAATTAAAAAAAACACATTATTTTAGCATTTTTTAAAGAAAAATGCGTTGCCTTATTGACATGCTAAACGTAAGATAAAACTTTAAAAAAAAAAATAAATAAATGACACGAGCTATGTCTTTTAAAATATATGTGACAAATAATGAGGAGATTTAAATCATACAATCAAAAAAAATTCTTGAATTCAAACATTCGGAATAAAAAAAACAACTTATTTGTATACTGCATTTTCATGCATTTTGTGCACGGTAGTTCGCCTAGTTTCTGTTATATGTTTTGGCAATTATGCCCATGTGCATGTGTATTATAACATTAAATATTTAAGATATCATTTGAAGAAAAAGCATGCATTTGTTCATCCCTGCCTTATACACATGGTCGATTGGAACTTTGCTAGCAACGAAAAACACTATTACATCATTCAAATCTTATCAAATGACATAAAAATACTGTATTCCTTAAAAGAAGAGGACAAATGTTTTATAAAAAAAAAAGATATTGCTGGGGAAGTTTTATTAAATATCATATCCATGCAGCTTGCCTCTTGAAATCCAAGACTAAAAGAGATAGGGTACACAGTATAAAAGTTTGATATATACTCAAGATATCCCAACCCAGAGGTGAGATACATAATACCCAACCACAAGTGATTTTTCCATGAATTCCTAGCTTACGACTGGTTTACGTCTGTCACGTGAATAGGGTGTAATACTTATACATGGTCACTTAAAAATCAATACATGGTTAATAAGGAGTAATCAATCTTTTGAAACAGTTTCAGTTGACCTTGTTAAGTGACAATGTCTGATTACAATTAAATGCTTAGCTAACATCAGTAACGAGCACACATTATGAAACTCTTCTTTTTTTTTTCCTTTACTTAACTTCTTCAAAGTCTGTACGTTAAATTACTGTACGGAACACTCACAAAGCAATATTACAAAGCACGTATTGTCATAATAGGCACCTTACACTGGCGATGAAACAATACTAGGGAGAAACAATTTTACAAACCATGGAGATCGGACTATATTGTTAAGGATAGGGTAAATTTCTTACATAGTTTTGTATACGTAGTGACCAGGTACGGGATTATATCTAGTTAATAAATTGTATACATGCACCTGGCGAGGCGTACATGTAACTATTAATTCCTCACTCTACTTCAGTCCTACCCTTATATGACATGGCTTGTACACACCTGAAGCTGCACTTTTTCAGGCCTAAAGCATATTTATATAACTTAATATTGACTTGCAGGTCTTGGAAATTCTAAGAATCTTCGCTTTAAATGACAATGTTAAAATGGGATCCACTAATTTTGCTATACCATTCGCGTTCATGGCGGAACTTGCAGTTTATGCTAAAGCATTTCCCATGATGTTCTTGGGAAGAACGTTTGAAGAAACATATAAAACATGCATATTCTATCATTGCCCCATACCCAAGTCCTCCTTCTTTAATCTTTACCCATGACTTAATAAAAAATTGCCTCTATGGATAAATTAATTCACAGTCGTTCTTGAGAAGAGGGTTTAAAAATCAATAGAGTTTGGTACCTCATTGGCGTCCTTACTACCAATTGCAAAATGATTTGGACAAAATTGAATGTGCACTATCTGAAAATATTTGCATATCTTCAAGACTTTTCATGTCTTAGTTCTCATTGAAAGGATTCTTAATGATGTTTTTTTTTTTTTTTTTGTATTACCATGTTAAACTTTAATCCCTTATTTTCACCTAACACATGGAACAAAATTTGTTTTTGTTAAAAAAAATGAATCTATGTCATCTTGGAAGGCTTATATTTTAAAATGAAAGCAGTAATTATTTTCATATTTTAATACAATGTTTCAATCGATATCTTCCTTTGTTGAACGTCAATCCTCTGATTTGGAATGGTCTTATCAATTGGTGCCACAGTTGAATAGACATACGTCTACATCTTAAATGGAAACCCTTTAAATAACTTTCATCTTGTTTGGCAAGGTGGTTCATAGGATGATTATCATGTTTAATTTCAGAGACAATCCTATTTTAATATCAACTTTCATCAGAGCATATTTCTTTAATTAAACAAACATTAATCCCCTTAAATGAAGCAGGTCTTTGGTAACTATGGTAGAATTTGTTCTAAAATGAAAATTAAAAATTTGAAAAGGAGCAGATAAAGACAGAAGACAGTTGAGAGTGATCAAGAAAGTTTACCTGAATTCTTTGTTCATTTTGTGAAAGCAAGGTTGGAAATTATTTGAATTTTAACAGGATAATATTTACCTAATGCGTTTAATATTTCAGAGATTTTTATATGTTGAATATCTATAAGTTTACAAAATTAAGTGAACTCCATATTAAAAAAGCAGTGGGTTCCATTTAAATTTCCCCCACTATAAGTCCTTTAAGCAGACAATATTCCTTGTTAACTGATTATGTCTCTGTAATTAGATTGAGGTTTGCCTGCTTTCTTGAATTTTCTATGTCTCTTGCAAAGGAACACTTGCTATTTAGGCGTAGATGTTCAAAAATGGCATCATCTCCCAACTTCCAGTCATCCTTCTTACAACCACAATGAAAACACGCCGTTGAGGATTCATAACCTAAGAAGAGAAGCAGAGAAGCAAAATAGATGACTTATCTTAAATTTCCAATGCAAAAAATACACTCTATGAATACAGTCTAATATGTTTGATAGTATGTGTTGATGTCATAATGTTTACAAAGCAAACATTACCTGCATAGAAAAAGCCGGCACTAGCCAAGTTGTCAACTATTTCCTGTGGTGAGAACCCAAAAAAGGAGAATTGTCTGATACTTTTGCTTGTATAATCAATGAATACAGGCCTTTCTTCTTCAGGAGTAAAAATCTTATCGTGGGTACTTGGAACGTATGGAGTATCTAATTTAAAATGAGAAGAAAACGTTCGATAATATGGAAGATTTTTTTTTACCCTCTGTAAAGCAGTATATTAAAAATAATCAAAAAGACATTAATGAGCAAACCTTCAATAAAGAATATCAGTTAGGTAATTAAATTATTATTACGGTTTTTAACTTGAGGACAATTTCTAAGCAAGATCCATATAATTTCAATGGTGAAATTATACTTACCTTTTTGTCCTGTTTTTGAAAAAAAGCCTCTGTGTAGTGGGTCATGGGGAGTAATTTTTTCTTGACTTAAACCTGAAATTATCATTTCAGAATTTTTATTTTCAGGAAATAACTTTTTTTTTTCTTTTAAAATACTGCAATATGTTAGTATGTGTGTGTTTTTTTTTTTTTTTTTTTTTTTTTTTTTTTTTTTTTTTTTTGTTTCAAGGAAATTATTCTTGAATTATATCATCTTCATGCCATCATGATTGATATTGTATTTTTTTATCTGCAGCAATGATTATGTGATAATGCATTGATTATCTGCAAATTTGTTTATGACCTTATCAATCAACTGCTTAAAGTATACGAGATAGATGATAAATGTTGGAAAATGGCTGAAAGTACTTTTAAATGTATCTCCCTTTTCAAGTAGGATATCTTCCACTTCAGAATCATTACTCTTGTAGCCTAAAAGCAAAATAATTTTAGGGATATTAGCGAAAATATTCTTTGAAAGCAAATAATGTTGCAAATTATGATGACAAAAGTGGACATTTTTAGAAATCTCTAAAATGCAATTTTTTGGGGTGGGGGGGTGGGGGGTGGGGGTTCTGGGCAGATATTCTTATCTTAATAACCTATACAAAATTATCTATGAATTAAAAAAACATGTCATTTGGTATAATAAAATGGGAGGACAATTAACAATTGGAAATCATGCTCAAAAGTCCAATTGTGAGCAGGACAAACATGGAAATCTGAAAACAAGTAAACTCAGGTGCCATGTAAGAATGAATATCACATAAGTGGACAAACCTGTCATGTGCTGTTTGTCAGGATCTGGTAGACAAAAACACTTTAACTTAGACGAAAGAGAAAGTTATTTAAAAATGGGGAAAAAAGATAAAAGAAAATCCTGTTGTTATTTTTAAGCTCAATACTCTTTGGTCACATTGATCAAAAGAGACAACAGTCTCTTCCAAATCCGTTTCACAATTCTGAAAGTCGTCCGCGTGGCGCAGTGATTAGAGAATCTGCTCTAGAGTCGCGAAGTAAGGAGTTGATCCTTACGTCGCCGGTTCGAATCCCACTGTGGGACACGGAGATTAGTCCTTCGGATGAGACCGTATAAACCGAGGTCCCGTGTCGCAGTAGGTGCTGGCACGAAAAAGATCCCTCACTGCTCAATGGCCGTAAGAGCCGAGTATAGGACAAAATTTGAAGCTCTCCATCGGCAAGTGGTGGCGTCTCCATATGAGTGAAAAATTCTCGAGAGGGACGTTAAACAACATACAAACAAACAAACAAACAAACAATTCTGAAATCTCCTAGATCTGAGAAGAAAATCTTACAACGGTTTCGACGAATTTTGCATGTTAATAAAAAAAAAAATAATTGCATTGATATTTTCCTCTGCTTCAAATCTGATTAATTCTGAATTTGTAAGGAAAGGTCAAAGAAAAACCAAAAAGTACAGATATAAATAGTGATTTCATTTACTTAGAAGATGAATCACATCACTTACAAAATATATATAATCTACATTGTATTCAAATAGAAGTGAAAACGGAAAAAAAGTTCCTTTACATTAATTCCAACATTAAGACCAAAGATGGAAGAGGTAGGGATTTGCTTGTGCATTTCATCATTTTGAAAGATCAACTTTACCAAGCATAGTAGACATTTGTGAATTTCAAACGATTTGTCACTGGTTTGCAACGTACCTTTGAAATCGGCCTCTTTGTGTAGATGTTTTTCCTGGTTACTATTAATATCTTTACCGCTTCGTTTCTTATAAATAACGAACCCTGAAACTGCTGCAATAAGTAGTACAGCAGCTGCTGTAACTCCCACTGTAAAACCTAAAGTAACTTCAAGACATCTAAATCCTGTGCAATCCAAAGAGCTGAAACAAGTTTTATAGATACATACAAACTACGCTTACCTAGTGGAACAAAAGATATTTTTTAATTGTAATGTCGATATCTAATAGTGAATTGGCTATTAACAAGTATAAGCTCTCGAAGAACATCATACCTTGCGAGAGTTGTTGAGCTAGGTTCTTTTGAAGAGGTTGTGGTGTACTTAATTTGAAGGGAACTGTCCTTCTCAAATTCGAAACATTCTCGATCTGAAATTAAAATTTAAACTAAAGTTTTTGGTTTTTCTCGTTCGCTCTTTTGTAAAACGGACCCCTTTTTTCCAAAGGTATACCAGTTTCATGATTTTTTTTTTTTTTTTTTTGTTTGAGATAATACAATAAATAAGGAAATAGCTTTATAATTCCAGAAGCAATTTGCACAGCATATATATATATATATATATATATATATATATATATATATATATATATATATATATATATATATATATATATATATATATATATATATATATATATATATATATATATATATAACAACAATAAAAGTATATCATACTTTCAATTAGACTTTTTTTTTCTTATTTGAACTTTACTTAGTTTACTTTTAATGCCGAAAACTAAGTGTACGACAACAAACGTACACTTAAATAGGTATTCATTTTTCACAACGGTAACATATTTCTGTAATAAATGGATAATTTGTGTAATAAAACTACAGTGGTTATTCCATATCTTTGAACGTTAGCAGTATAAAAGTTCCATGCCATCACTTGACTGACATTTAAGATGCTTTATCATGTTTGTTTTTTTTCTTTTAGTCTTATTAAACAAAATGATGTAGTCTAACCTTTTTGATAGGGGTGTTTTTTTTTTTTCTTGGGGGGGGGGGATTTTTTTTTTTTTTTTTTTTTTTTTTTTGACACAGCTTCACCTATGTCACTGTTCACAATTGGAATATTAATCAATTGAGCTCTACAGAGATAAGAAAACATCAAATATTTTAACAATTATCCATATTAACGTACTCCTCTATACAATAACTAGTACATGTATCTATACCTATGATTAGCACGTCGTTCAAAATGTTCAATTCATACATGCAAACAAGGAGCTCCCATCTCCATTACATTTTCATAAACATACATATAAATCTCAAATCTTAACATCCAGCTATATATTTATATCTGAGTGTATGTTGGTAAAATGTATTACTATTCGATGTGAATTTTATAACCAAAACCTCTACTTTAACTTCTCAATTGTCATTTGCTTGTTATGTATTTATTTTATCTATAATTTAATGCCTTAGTAGATTTTCATTTTTTTCTCTCCATTTCAGCAATGCTGCCGAAGTTTGTGTATGAAATGAAATACGATTTTTTTCTTTTAGATCATTTTTTTTTTTTATAATTTGTCAACTTTTTTTTCTCCTCCAATTCAAGTTAAGAAAGAAGTTCAAATAACGTTTACCGGTTGGATCAAGTAGTTTAGAGCAGAACAGCCAATATCATAGCCAATTTTTTATGCTTATATATCAGTTTGGAATTTCAAAATTTTTGGAGATGAAGAGAAATTATTATACTGTTTCTTTTGTAATATTTTATTTATACTTTCCTGCTAAAATTTCAATCAAAATTAAAACTGAAATATTTGAAAAAAAAATTAAGTTTTGTAAATAAAGCACAATTTATCAATGTAGTCCTTACAACAGACATACATTTGAAAGCATCAGTGGAGTTGTATTGAAATGGACATAACCGACAATTTCCTTTGTTGTGCTCCTGTACCATTTTTCCTCCAAAGTTGAATTCAGGGCATTTCCATCCTACATTTGTAAAATAAAAATAAAAATTCAGATTATTTTGTCTTTTTACTTTCATTTGTATTAAGTGCAACTTGCAAAAATAGGGTACAAAGAATGACATCTGTAATAAGAGCAGTAACTCTAATGAATATTTCAGGCAAGTGCTTCCAATGAAAGGAATTTTATTATTCTTACTGGCATTGAAATTAATTGACAAAGATATGTGTCAAGACCTTGATATAGAACACTTGAATTAAAACATGATATGTTATAAAGATTTCCATATTTTGAAAAATATTTTTTTTTTTTTGCTCTCTATATATGGTTTGTAAAAGCTAAGGACATATGATAAGATATGCTATTATAATATAATTTCAGTTATTATTCATATATTAAGCAGGGGCATATTTTTTGTACTAAATTTTTTTTTTTTTTTTAATTGACAGTTTCATTTGTAAAGTGGAGCTGGAATGGGGAATATGATTGGTATTCACACAAGGAATATACTTTTTTAATCTCCATTTTTGTTTTACCTATAATTGTGGTCCTGATGGCACACACTTCGATGGATTCATTTTGCCAAGCATTTGGTATGCAATGATACACGAAAAACTCAGGATTCGTACAGTTCTGTTTGTGTGAGGAACAATTGAACATCCTTTCTCTTCGAAACCAAGCATCCTGATTAGTTGGACAATGGTTTGCTATGCGAGTTGTGTCCAATGAAGTGGGGCAACTTCTCTGTTGTGCAGAAAAAAAGTTTCTTACAGGTAAAAAGAATCGAATATTTGGATTTTCGAAAAATCAAATTTAATTTTAATTTCTCCACCAAAAAAAAAAAAAAAAAAAAAAAAAAAAAAAAAGAAGAAGAAGAGGAAGAAGAAGAAGAACAGTGTAATAAAAAAAAATGAGAAGAAAAAGTGCTCTATGCCTACTTTAAGGGTAGCATTTCTTTGCATATAATTCTTTTTTTTTTTTTTCTATAAAAAGTTACCTGTCCTAATACAGAGATGTACAAGGTAGATACATGGAAGAGAAGTGAGAGGATCTTTGCTCTTGAAATTGTGAAGTAATCCATGATAGTTGTAGTTGCAACTCTGTTTGAAAACGCAATTGTATCAATAAACATTAGAAACTAGTCGTTCATCTTTAGTACCAGTTTAAATCATGATCATATAAAATTATGTTTATCAATAGTACATATACATTTTCATTATTTTCATTTATGAAATGTAATTGTTTTGAATTAAATTGAATTTCTTTCGTATTTAGCTTCATTACATTATTTATCCGCTTGACTGTTTTTTTTTTCTTTGATAATTCATTGCTATCATTTTTTTTTCGAAGATATCTATTTTAATTGCAAATATACATCAAGTCTCTTACTGCGTCATGTGTGAGATCTTGAACTGTATTTTACTTTGAAAAGAAATTCTTAAAAATAACATTAACTTGATCATATTAAAAAGTTATTTTATTTCACATGGATTTTCTGGAAGTAAATTTAAATCTCGCAAATATTAATTTTTCTTTAGCAAGCATTTGTAGAGAAAGGAAAGAGATAACGGCGACTGAAACCATCAAACTCTTCAGGCATTACTTCAGTGAAACATACCATGATAATCACATATAACTTTAGGTTAGACTTCAGGAGTATGCTTAACTGGGTGGGGGTTTTATTTTTTTTACTACGAAAACTTTTGTCTCTTGGTGAGTTAGGCTATATATTCGTTGTATTTTTAATGGTGACTTTATTGACAAAAAGAATACCTAGCATTCTTGACAAAAGTCAGAAGAAATTAGCCACTCAAGAGATATTAACGTTTTCAAGTAGAAAAAAAAAATGTTTCCTTAAATCCAAGAGCATGGAATACCTACTTGTTTCATCCGACTTCTTTGGATGACAGGTTTACTAATTCCCCTGCATATCACAAACCTGCATATGCCCAAACAGAAACACTACTTTCGGTTCAGATGTACGGAAGCCCAACAGTGCAAACCAAAAATAAATAAGAATAAAAAAAAGAAATTATTAAATAAAAAACGAAATTATTACATAAAGAAAATAAAGAAATTTCGTTTTCATTACATAATAATTTCGGTTTCTAAATTTACTAATTTCGTTTTCTTTATTTACTAATTTCGTTTTTTTTTTAATTTAATGATTTCGTTTTCTTTATCTAGTAATTTCGTTGTTGTTTTTTTTCTTCTCTCTCTCTCTCTCTCTCTCTCTCTCTCTCTCTCTCTCTCCCTCTCTCTCTCTCTCTCTCTCTATTTATATTTATATTTTTTTTTATTTTATTTTATTTTATTTATTTATTTATTTATTTATTTATTTATTTATTTATTGGTTTGGTTTGCACTATTGGGCTTTCGTATAGATAAAACTGGAAAAACCAAATACTGAAAACTTAAGCGGAAGTTGCAATGCACATGCGCAACTCTGGGGTAGGTGTAATTAAACCTAAACGCACTGTTTAATGTATATTATTTGAATCCGAACCCGATTCAATGATTGGGAACACTCATATAATCAGATATATTTTAATATTTAAAAAAATCATGGATATAACGCTTTGAAAAATATGAACTCGAAAAAATACAATACTAATGGACTCTCTAGTTTGAGAACTTTAAAATAATTATTTTATGATTATTGAAGATTCCTTATTTACGTAAGTGATAACATTTGATAACATACACTTCACGTACTTGGCATTGTAATATCGTCTTTGTTATCTAACTCATTGTGGCATATTTGAAGGCAAAGTCGAGAGACTGGGTATAGTCCTCTATTTTTAATAGTCGACAATGATAAAGTTTTCTCATATAATTTTGTCCCGAATTTCCGTTGAATGATGAGGTACCCCTTAAGTGAAAGTTGGTTACCTTCCATATTGATGATTAAAATATCGAGGTGGCATGTCGAATTCGTTTTCGAACAAAAATGCACATGTTAGCATATACCCTTAATTAAGGAAAAGTGAAGAATTCCGAATTTCAATGCACATAGCAACCTACTCAATACTTTTTTCTTCAAAGTAATATCAAGACTGAAATTGGTTTTCAAAGCACATTTTTTTTTTCTTTTATATATTAAACATCTTTAGGTAAGGTGACCTACTTATTTTATGTACCGCTTGCAAGTTCGGGAATTCTTTTGTCGAAGTGGCAACTTTTTTCGGCTTCCAATTCTAAAAATAGTTAGAGGTTTGTACCGAGCTCTACATTTCACGAGATTTCCGAGACATACTGTTCCTAAGCTAAACTTAATGAGAATCAAATGAATGGAACAATCAGGAAAAGAAATCAATTTTACTTTGGGACTGGTTTTTCTAAAGAAATTATGCGACATTAAATATACGGGTAGATTCAATACATATTGAGGAACCTGCAGTCCCTAACAAAAAAAAATACTATAGTTAACTATAGTAAAAACTTTGACATTATGAAAACTTTGATTTACTAGTGATAACTTAGACACTTCGATTTACTATAGTGATAACTTTGACACTTTGATTTACTAAAGTGATAACTATTAAGATTTTGATTTACTATAGTGATAACTTTGATTTACTATAGTGATAACTATGACACTATAGTGATTACTTTGAAAAATTTGATTTACTTTAGTGACCACTTTGATACTTTCATTTACTACAGTTAATTATGGTAAACTATAGTATTTTTTAGGGGTACAACAAAGTATTCCATCCGTTTTATTACACGTATAGTTTAGTTTTGGACGTTATCTTTTATTTTCATTAACCAAGTTATATGTTATGTGACGTTGCCAAAAGAACCATAACTGTTTAAGTAAAAGACACAGCCATATACGAAAGATCAGAAGGCTCAGTTGAGATTCGACTTTCAACCATTCGACCAATTAAAAAATGGCTAAAGATTCCAATTACCCCATTTTGCTAAGTTTTGACAATCAATAAACCGTTGAATAAGTTGTTAATGAATAGGCCATTTGATCAATAAACAACGCAAGAAAGAGTGACAGAATTAATAAAAAAAAATGTTGGCTTTTTAAGCAAAACATGCTTACATTTTCATTGTAACTTCTTAAATATAATGAGAGATTTATATGAAGAATATGTCAGAATGGCCAAATATTTGTTAGGTTGTTTACAGTTGGGGCAGGATGTCTTATTAACTTAATCTTTTGGAATCGGTTCCTTGAAAGAGACAAATCGGGCTGGTATTTTAGTTCATGTTCTGTGCCAAATGTGAAATATAAGCGTGCAATTTATTAAGTGACTAGCGAATTATAGTGATTAGGGTTACAAAGTGACTAGTGTTTGTAACAAGGTATTACAAAGTGGCCACGTTCTTGAAACCAAGAGACAGCCCCTCAAGTACGGGTGCACGTGGTTAAAACATACATGTACATGCTTAATAAAGATAATCCAATTAACTTGTGGCAAGTTTGGTGGAAATTAGCCCCCTGGTTCTTGAGAAAAAGTTGAAAGAGTGAAAAGTTTATGCACAACGCATGCCCGCACGCCGACGGACGAAAACAGTGCATACTATAGTGTTTAGTCTTACCTTGTCAGTGGACATTCCAGCTGCCTTGGAATCACAATCTTGAAATGGACAGCTCTCTTGTTCCTAAAGATGATAGACTATTTTTTTTAAACACAGTTGACAGTGTATCAATTGTGACTGAACATGTATATTGCATTTGTTGTTTTAATTAAATACTCTATGGTTCCCTACCTAGTAACAGACCAATAAAAATTACAAATCTTCAGTATCATCTTCTACATGAACTAATATGAACATATAATATTCCATCTAACATGTTCCAACCTTCAATAAAGGTATACAGATACTCTTGCATTATTCTGGTTGGTCATGAAACACATAAAAACTTATCCAGCATTTTTATGTGCAGGTTTGACACAGATTCTTTGGATCATTCATTAAATACTCAAGTAACAGTTAATTATCTCCTAAAAAAAATGATATCATATTTTTCATATACCGGGTATTTCATAATACTGAAACAGGACAGAAGTGAAGTACAGTTACTATACTACCCATTGCCATAAATTTAATTTTACCATACTTACAGAATCTTCTTGCTTTTCATCCAAATCATGCATACTGGTATCCTATACATATGATAGGACTATTTTAATATGTCACATTTATGATTAATACAAGTAAATCTGAAGTAGCACAATAAATTAATGTTTTTTTAAATAGAAGACTTGCATAAATTTCTTCAATCAACATATTTTGCATATATATTGTACTCCATTGATAAGAGACCAACTCCTACATGTCCTACAGATATGCATTCCATATTTTACCACCTAAGCTCTCTCTCTCTCTCTCTTACACATTAAACCTAGAAGGTGTCGTGATTGAAGTGCAGCACTTCAAAACATTCACATTGTATACATTTACAACATTCCATTTACCATGTTATGGATTTAAAGCATGCTCTGGATGCAGTATATATATATATATATATATATATATATATATATATATATATATATATATATATATATATATATATATATATATATATATATATATATATATATATATATATATATATATATATATATATATATATATATATATATATATCTATCTCTCAGGCAATATGCAATAGCTATTCACACAATGGTCATGTAAATAGACTTTTCCTTTGTGCACAATGGTCATGTATATATCATCGGCCATCTTTAGCAGTTTAGAAAGAATTCAGCACAATTGCAATGAAAGTTGTTAAAGTTCTGGGGCTATATACAACAGTTAATTTGTGACCAAACAGTTACTTGTTGAATGAAATAACAAAGAAGACCAGTTCTAGTTAACATGATAATTGTTTGTTATAATTCAGCACCATGTGAAGTAATCATTACTTGTCCATGTCTCACCACACACAAAGTGGTGTACTGTTAATCGAACAATGGATATATGTTTTTTACTTAAAAGTGATCAAAAAGCAACAATGTTCAAACTATCTTTGTCTTGGATTGCTTTTTTAAAACTCCCTAGTAAAAATATTTATAGTCATATACTTGCTATTTTTTGTCTATTTTACATAGAAAG